GTGGGAAAGTTTCATTGCCAAGTAGCTAGATGATGAAAAGTTTTATTTACATTCACCTGCTTTGTCTTTTGTACCAAGTCAGTTTTATATCACCACTGTTCCAGTGTGGAGATCTGAAAGACCAAATATACATTCCTAGCACAAGTCAGATAGATATAGGATTGGCAAAAGCCTCTTTAGTGGGGATGTAAAATGCCCCAGCCCTGGGAGGATGCAGTGACTGCACTCAGAGGTGTGTTGGTGGCTTAAACCTGGAAGGGCTCTCCCATGGTGTCCAGCTAAGGTTAGGAAATTCAACAGGGAGCAGCTGAAGGTGCCTTTATGTATCATATGCACCTACAGGAGTTGTGGCTGTTCTAGTAACAAGAACTACACTGATTAACTCTCTGTTGTAGTCCATAGCAGGACTGTGCCTGTCAGAAATGGGCAGACATGATAATTTTCCCGGGTGGCCAGGTGGAGACCAGAAATCCAGGCTAGAACTGTCATGGTTGACCTAAAGCTTCTAAGAACCATTGCATGAATGGCAATGCTGTTTCTGATCCAGCTGTGTTTGCTGTGTTTCTGAACAACTGCCTTTGGTGCTGCCCTTCTTGGTGGTATCTCAGCCAAAAAAAGGTAGCAGCAAATTCTTCTTTTCAGACTTTTTTTTCCCCTGGGCTTGTGCATTTAACAGAAGTCATCCAATAATTTGCTTTGGTGAGATTTGCTTGTTTGCTCTGTTTCTGGAGAGAGGGATACTCATCAGATAAATATTTTTTATAGGCATTAGATATGACGTGGTGAGAGCAGAAATGAGTTTCATGCCATGTTCCCAGCCGGGTAGTTTCTCAGGGAGGTTGGCTCCTGCCTATGCAGCTCAGATTGGAAAGTTTGGGGTGGCACAAAGAGGAAATATTTCTGAAACTGGTATACTGGAAACATGTATACCAGGCTGACTCACCAAGGTGGAGGTTTCCAGAATGACTAATGACTGAGCAGGCATTGATTTTTGCCTGTCTAATGGGACACATCTTACAAAGTCTCCAGTTTCCAGACTGGGTGCGGTGCTTGCCCTTTGAAAATCAGATCCATGTATTGTGTATCGAGTTGACTGTACCAAAAAAGAAGCCATAACCTTGAGACCAGGTAAGTGTGTCCATGGTAGGCTCCAGGCTGCCAACAGCAAGGCACCAAGGCAGATATTAAAGCTGCCCTCATGTGCTCCCATGCTTCACTGCTGGCATGAGCAGGGTCTCAATTAGAGACTAGACTCCTCAAAGCCTTTTGTCCTCACCTAAAGGGTTAATACCTAAAAGGGAGTTTCCTTCATTTTTTTCCCTCATCAGGGTAATATTTATTCTCGTGTTGTCATCTTTCTGCTCTTGATGAGCGGATCAAGTTCTACATGCACAGGCCTGGCTGTTCAGTGATGCTTGAAGTCACTCTTGACCAGTAGCTCCACAGGAGACAGGGCAGACCCTGAGGTGGTTGTGAGAACTAAAGCTTTGTAACATGATATATTATTTCTCATCATGGCTGTGACCGTTTACTCCTGAATCCCCTTCACAGAAGAAATACAGAAGTTAATCCGGCGTACTCTGACACCAAACCTTCCGTTGAGCATCCAGATGGCAATGGCTGCACACCTGATCCAGGCTGAGGTATTCAACTGTGGGAGTGGGGAAAGCCCAGCTCTGGCTTGTAAATCTGCCAAGCAAGTCTACTGCCCTACACAGTTCTATCCCCCGAAGAGCACCCAGTAGGTGTGAGGAGACAAGGCTTTGAGTCCTTTTTGGCCTTTCTTGTGCTGTGTTTTGTTAGGCTTTGTGTGACACCATGTGTGTGTGCTCTCCCTGCTCTTTGGCGACAGCACCAGCACAGGTTCAGCACTTCATTCCTGCTCCCTGCTGCTTCCAAGGGCACAGCAGGGCTGGGCTGCCATGGACCTGCTCAATGCCCTCCTGGGAGATGTGCCAGAAGGTGTGTGGTTTTCCAGCCCTGTCTGGGGATACATGTCCCATTTGTGAGGCCAGTCTGATGGGCCAGGTGCTGCTCCTAGTTTAACCCTCTCTGGGATAAAGCTGCTTCACTTCACCCCCACCACCCCCAGGGGCAGCTTTGTGGCTCCAAAACACAGGACTGTCGCCCTGTGGAGAAGAAATGGGAGCTGCTGCTATAGGGAGGGTCTTTCCACTCCTCCTTTGGACTCACAGTCACCTCTGAAACTGGATGTGTGTTTATGGGTGTTTTAAAACTGATTTTTCCTGAGTTGGGCACAGTCACAGTGGACTGGTGATATCAAAAGCATCCAGGTAGCCTTAGCAAATATGATCATGATCAAACCCAGCAGTGTTTTGTGGTCTGTGCACTGCACCAGCAGCTCATCAAACTCACCTTTTCCTGGGAATAAAAGTCTAGTCTCAGGCAATGAAGGAGCAAGAGAGCATTAGGCTTTTAAGAAGCAGACTTCAGAGACAGCATCCTCAAATTTTCTGCCATTTAAAATGTTTCCCTAAGGTTTTATTGCATGTAAATGAAATGATAATTACAATATTTTAATCCAATTAGCTCCCTTCATGATCTGGCAGGTGCAAATTGGAGATGGATCAAACTTCTTCTTTCTATGGATTATGCCTGGAGCCTCCTTAAAGCTGCTGTCTGGCCCTGTGTCTACACGCGGTACAGCGCGTGGTACAGGGGACTGCAGAGAGGCCCTAAATTATGTATGGAGTATGAATTATTGCTGAAATGCATCACTAAGGCTTCACTCATCGAACATTTCCAGCTCCATGAGAGCAGCATGGGAAAAACCAAGTATTTGCCTGTGGCATGGGCAAGGTTTTCGTTTGCGTGGATTTAAAGAGTGTGTGTCACTGACGGAGTCACAGGTCACCTGGAGTTAACTTCATGCATTCCCCTACATCTTGAAGGAAATATATTTTGCAAGCTCTCATCTAATTAGCATGGAAATTACACTGGGATTTCTTGTGAAAATGGGGACAGAGATGAAAAAAAAAGTATCTTGATGTGTTATTTAAAAAGAGAGAAGTTCTTTGAAGGCCAGTGCAGCTGCCCTTTCTCAAGCACATCTCCCAGCTCATGTCAGGGGCAGCACCCCCTCTTCCTCCTGATTATCAAAACCAAGAGTAGGGAGCCCACCCTCTGCAAGGAAAAGGAGAGGGATATCTGCAGTGAGGGCTCTGAGCATGGCCTAGGCTGGCAGCAACCTCTGAAGGACATTTTCACAGAGTTTCCTAACACCTGTGGATATGACTAAGCTAAAAAAGGTGGAAAACTGCCTTTTAAAACTCCATTCAGACAGTGTGCTTCAATAACAGTAGGGTTTTTGTCCCATGGCTCTGTCCTGATGTGGCCCTATCACCCCAGGGACCCCAAAGGGCATTCAAAGGATGAGGAATTGCTTCTCAACAAAATCCTGTGCAGTTGTTCTGGCAGTATTACATCATTCCAGAAATAAAATGACAACTTTTCTTTGACTATTTTATTTTAATTCCTTTTTTTAATAGAAGTGACTGCATTTGCTGAGAAATGATCGAACCTCCAGACGGGCCAAGTTAAATGACACAACTGTCCCTTGATCATACTGGGCACTGGTTGGGCACCCATCTTTACTGCATGGATGAGATGAAGGATAACTTCTTTATCTTTGGCCTATTTTGGATGGAGAAATATTATTTATTTTGCCATTTATGTTCTGATTTCCCCTTGGAAATGTGCTGCCAGTCTGTGCTGAATGAAAGCTCTTACGGGACAGAAAAATCTTCATTCCTTTTAAAAGAAGGACTCAGTAAATATATTTCAGAATAAGGTTTCTTTTGATACTTGCTTTTCAAATCCCTCAGTATTTCTATACTTCATAATCTTCCATCTTCAGAGAGATGGAAAGGGAATTTAAAACTGCCTTTCCTTTAGCACCAAGACCCAACTGCAAAGACAGTGCTTGTCAGTGATGGGAGAGGATCCAGACCCAGGGAGATGCTGGAGCTGAGCTGTGAGGAGCAAGCCACAAATTACATTAAATAATAATTAAAAAGAAAACTAAACAAAAGGCACTGAATGTTTTCAAACAAACTGGAGAAAATGAGTTTGTGCATTAACAGTTTGTGAACATAAGGGGGTAAATCCTGCTGGCAGCAGTTTATTCTTCTGTTGGCTGTGTAGATGCTCAGTGGTGCAGTACAATCCTCCCTTCCCTTTCCAGGGGGTGGGGAATGCTGTCACCTTGAGCTGAGACTGAGATGGGGGAGGCTGTTTGACCTTGTGGTTTGTTGCCCTCCAGTTCAGCTGAAGTTCCCCAGTGTCAGACTGACTCCTTCCCTGACCCTCCTCAGACAAGGTACAAACTGGGGATGTCAAGAGGCAATTTTGCCTGAGAAGGTCTTTGCTTCTGTGGGAGGAGATGGGGGGGTGAATGTTCAAATAAGATTTGGGTTTGGAGTCCTTAACTGCCCTACAATTTTTATTGGTTTGAGTTCAGCTCTTGATCTCCACCTTAATTTTTCAGCATGAAAGCAAAGAGCACAACAAGCAGAAGCCTTGGCAAACTGAGGACACCCAGCCTGGGAGAGAGAAAATTTCACATGGTTTGAGAAACCAGAGCCAACAGAAAATTAGGAGTAAGGCAAGGGGCAGGGGCAATGGAGGGTAAAATTTTCTCTGGGTAAGGCAAGTAAAAGACATTTGAGACCCTAACCAGTTTGTGAATTCACTTGATGTCTGCCTATAAATTAATGTCCTTAATAATTTATATTGAAAAATGAAGATGAAACAGGTTTGGAAAAAGGTATTTTTTCTTTTGGTTTGGGTTTGGGTTATTTTGTGTGTTTTATTTTGTTTTTGTGGAGTTTTGGTTGGTTGGTTTGATTTTTCTTTGTTTTTGCTAACATAATAGGGATCTGCCCCAGGCCTCCTGCTGGGAGGGCTTTAGGAGGAGATGGGTTAAAACAGCCTTTCCTCTGGGTCCCTGTAGCATCATGCTAACTGTGAGATTTGAGGAAAACCCTGTACTCATCAGTATTTTGGGGGTGGGGGAATAAATCTTCTCTTTGGGCAAAGAAGTGGCCGCTCATTTGCTTGCCAGGTGATGGCTGGCAGCACCTCTGCTCATTTGAAGCATGTCCTTATATATAGACAGTGCCCAAAATGTCACCTCTGGGGTAAGGCACAGCCCAAAATGTGTGATGGTATCAGGCTCTGTCTTCCCCATATTGCACATGAAACAAAAATGGATGCCAAAATGGTGATGTTTGCATGGACCCTGGAACTCCCACAGTCACACTGGCCTTTTCCCTACATCACTTATTTAGGATAAAGAAAACTCAGAGCCACGTTTCTGTGAGAACAGCCTTTGCTGGAGGCAGCTGCTCAGGTGCATCTCCCAGTGATGCCTCTGAACAGCAGAGGCTGATGGTGACTTTCTAAAGGGACATGAATGTTTGAAGGTTTCTCATTCCTGTCACAAACCTCCTGTGTTCTCCTGGGAGGCTCCTTCCTTTCCTTCGCCTTTTCTTCACTGCTGCTGAACTGCACTTCCAGGTGTTGCCAAAGGACCAGGACACAGCTGTGGTCACAAAGGAGGAGAAAACACCCTGGCCAGCACACCAGGTGAGATGGCAGGAGCAGCAAGCACTACCTCAACTCCCTTCCACCTCCTTGCTCAGCTGCTTTGCTGCTCAGAATGTCATACAAAAAACAACAAACCACCACCCCAAAAAAAGAAAAAAACCCCAAAAAACTAAACAACTAAAACAAACAAACAAAAACAAACAAAAAAAACCCAAAACTGCTCTGGGCAAGGCAAAACTACTCATCCCCCAGCCTGGGCAGGAAAGAGGGAGTGTGCTGAAGGTCACTGTATACTGACAGGGCGAATTTCTGGGTACTTGGTGGCATTTCTGTTTTTTCCTTGCCCCTGACTTCTCAAGAGATCTGCAGAAGTTTGTTTCTTTGAAGCCGTTTCCTCTTTCTCAAACCGCCTGACGTGCCGGCTCTGACGCAGCACTGCGGTGCCACAAGCCCTGTCGCAACCCTGCTGAGCTGCTGCCCCTCCTCTGGGAACCCAGCACTGCCTTTGCAAGGCTCCTGTTGGAAAAGGAACCGGTCTGGTTCTGACCAGAGGGAATCAGGGAGGGCTGGGGGGTTGTGAGCCGCCTGAGGTAACTGGGGAAGATGGAAGTGCTTTTGGTCCTTGTTTATTTGGTCCTGCCTGAACAAGGGCCTTGGAGAGAAAACCCCTGAGAGTTCTGTGGCTGAGTTTAGGAGCAAATAACCACTGTGCTCCCTGATTAAATCCTTAACCCCAGAGAGGCCTCTAACATAGAGCCTCTGCCTAGCTGCGGTGCCAAAATTGACATCTCCCACCTGTGAAATGTCCTGCGGGAGTGATCAGACATCTCTGGAGCTGCAGTCACCTCTCACAGACGCTTCCCTCTCTGCTCTGACTATGTAGGAAAACTGGGGTGCCTCCAGGTGGCAGCCCTGTCCACTCTAAACAGGGGTTTGTTTTCCCCTTGAGATTATAAGGGAACATCGGTAGTGGAATTAACTTGAGATTCAGTCCACGTTAGCAGGACAATGCTGGATGTGTTAGTGGTGATGCTCTTGCTCTTGTACAATGATCCAGCACCTGCAGAAGTCATCCCAAACAAGAAGTTGTGAGCTCTGGGCTCTGCCAGCCTATGGATAGAGTGAAGGATTGTAGGATTGACGCTGCAGCCTCCACAGCAGCCTTGGTCCTGCCCAGGACCAGGCTGGCAGGAAATACAGGGGCAGAAGGATGAGCACAGGCCTCAGTGATTGCAGCACTCAATTGACTGGTTACAGGTCAGAGCCTGGAAATACAACACAAAAATGTAATTAGATAAACAACCCCTCCCACCAAGAAGTGTAGGGTTGATCCTGCAATGAAGTGACTGCTGCTGGCAACCAAAAGCAGCCTTCTGGCACTGCTTTGGTAAAGTCCCCATAAACCTGTTTTTGTGCTTAAGAACACCCAACAGCTACTGGGAAGAGAGAGGTGGAAAGCTCAGGCTGCAGACAGCTCTGCTCCATCAGCATTTACGTGATCAGGCACCCACAAGCACCTTCTCAGTAAAAAGTCAGAAATCTGTGGGTAGTGACTGAGAGGCTCCTTGTAAAATTTGAGCTTGATCCCTTTGTGGATCAAATTAACAACACCTTGAAGGGCTTCTTAAAGGGGTTTTAAATAGCATTACAACATTTACAAATTGACAGCGGTAATGAAACTTGGGTGTTCCCAAAATCTGCAGCTCAGTTTCTATTCCCAAAAGAAGGATCAAAATGTAAATGTTTTGAGGATTTAGCTAGCTTATTGCTCACAGGTGCCTTATGGTATTCAGGAAAATGCCCTCCTTTCTGACCAGAAGTTAGGCTGGTAGGTTGAGCATGCAGAATTTGAATTTTCCTTTAATGCAGTGAAAAAGCAGCACAAAGCTACTGTCTGAATTTGAGTTAGTCTAAGGATAGAAATTCCTTTTATTTATACTTTTAATTAAAGATGAGTTTTTGTTTCTGTCACAATGCACAGAATTATTTCCAAATCATATTTGAGACTTCCAGCAGAAGAGGTTAACTAATACTGTGAACTCATGCACCCAGGGGAGCTCTGCATTAATGTGGTGTTTAAGTGGGGAGATCAAAGCTTTGATACCAAATGAAATGCTATGAACAGTTTCACACAAGCAAAAACCTTCAAGAAATTTCAGCGCAAGATGTTGGCACTGAGGAATGACTGTGGATGGGGAAAAAAAGTGGCTCCATCCCAGTGCTGCATTTATTTGGTGGTCAAAGCAAGGGCTGACAGTAGCAAATTGCTCACTGCTAGTTGTGGATGTTTTGGCCATGGCCAAGGCTGTAATGGCCACTGTGAGAAGCTGCAGGGCAGCGGTCGAGGCAGCACCCTGCTAACCTGCACTGTCTACTCCCAGCTTCACTGATGAAGACAAATGCTGAGGTGCCTTGCTGCAGTCTGATGTTTCAGCTTCCCAGCTTGCACAATGAGCCTCCTCTTTGCTCACGTTATATCCCACTAAGTAGTTCAGGAAGTTACCCAGTGGCTTTTTTCCCCTCTTTTTAACCAGAAAGCAGCCCAATTCCTAATGTTCCTCTCCAGATGTGATTTCTGTTGTTGGTAGGGGAAGTCAAATTCTTTGACTAAGCCAGGATTTGGTTCTCTTCCTTTCATCTCTTGTTGTTTTGCTAAAGAAACAAAACACCCCACCCCCACCCCCCCAAAAAACCAACAGCAACAAAAAAAACCCTCCAAAACCACCCTAAAAAAAAATCCAACCAAAAAAAACCTAAAAAAAAGTACTGAAGAGAGAGCCTATAATTTTTTGAAGCCTGAATATCTATCTTACAGCAATATTTTCCCAATTCCACAACTGCAAGCAAGTTGACAACATATATGAGTGGGGTTAGACCACTAATTAAGCAAGAACTGTAGAAAATATTTAAGTTGGATCTACAGCATTGACCTGTCCTTTTTCAAATGCCAAGTTTATATACGTGACTGTGCATTTCAAATGGGTCAAGAGAGCTTGGTTGTAAGTACCCAACACATTGCTGTGAATTAATATTTAATCAAATGTACAACATAGGGCTGAATGTTAAAGCTTACCTTTGATTTTGACTTCTATGATTTTTTGGGTTTCTAAAGCCCTCCGAAAGTACTTCAGTATTTCATAATACTATTACTCATACGATATGTTTCTTAGCAGTGATTAAAGCTAGTGAGGATGTAAATCTACAAAGGGAAATCTAAGCAAGACCTCATCAGCATAAAATATGTGGGAGACTAATTTAGTTACATCCCTATTAGTAATGACAAATCAAATTGTTCCTCCTTTAAAATCACTAATATAGCAAGGTTTTGCAACTCCACACATAGCACGCACGATAAATCAGTTCAATCTGTACACAAACACTGAAGGCTGCCTTAAATCTGGGTTGATTTCATATTCCAAACTCCTTCAGTGCAGTTCAGGTGAACCACCCTGGTTCCCTTAATACCTGAAAAGACAAAAAAATAAAAAAAAAGAGTTAATCTCTATCTCCACGTGCTGTGTATCAAGCACTCAACATTTATAACCCTGCAGCTGATTGCTTAGCAACTGTCTTTGGGAGGAACGACTCACCTGATGTGCCATTGGGAGCTCTTATGTTGCAGGGAAGAGGCCGGATGAAATGAGGTCAGGCAGTGTAAGCTTACCCTTGCTGAGTGGTGCTCACTCCACTCTGTAATGAAATTAATCAAGGTCATTAATTTGATCCTTTTTTATTGTTATAATTTGAAACTGTAATTTGAGGTGGCTCAAAGAGGCGCAAGCATATCTGTAATTATACCTTTATAATTAAATTCATATTTTAAGGTAAACATTTTCATGTATTGCTGTAAATAGACTGTGTATGCTAGAGAATATCGTCACAACAGCAAATGTGGCCTGTAAATGGGATGAGGGGGGATACTGAAACCCACCAGTTGTGTGCTGTTTAATTTGGGTTTAGGTGTTTCACGTATCTTAACATCTTAAGGTTAAACCCCTATACAGGGGTTTAACCTTAACTGAGCTTAAACCCCTATACAGGTCCAAAACCAAAGGCTAATTAAAAGAGATACAGAAGAATTGCTGTTTAGTCACACTGACCTTTAAAAATTGCAGAGCTGAGGCAGGAAGATCATCCTCATCTGACAAAGCTCAAGGAGTTCATGGTGGCTGAGGAAGCACATGCCAGAGTCACCTCCAGACTGATGGCTGTGACAGTGACCAGCGAGGGACTCACTGCCAGTCCTGCAGGTGATGGTCAGGAAAAACTGCAATGCTTGTTCTGTGTTTAACATCTCACTGGGTGAGACCATGGTGGGGGTATGGGAGCACCTTTTGTCTGCACAGCCAATTTGGCTGCCTCTGTTCCCCCCGGGCTCTGCTCACCGGCTGTCTCCGTGGCATGCATATGAGCTCCCTCCTGTCTCTGCTCCAGAGCAAACCAACTGGTTTCTCCCAAGGAGAAACCTCCACACGACTGACAGAGCTTTTTTCCAGGGTTGCACAAAGAAGCCTGGCATGAGCTGGACCAGATTCTACCCTGGAGGTCCTCCAGCCATCCCAGGATACCTCATGCCCACTGTCCTCCATGCTGTAAAACCCAAAATGCCTTCAGATCCTGCTGAAAACCATCATGCTGGCAGGCCGCCACCCAGTCCTTCACCACTTGGAGAATTTCAAATGTAAAAAAAGTGTCCAATGCAATAGTTATTGACCTGGGGTCTGTGGGGCTCTGCAGGCAGCTCAGAGGGGACCCAGGCCAAGTGCTGCCCAGCATGAAGGCAACCACTGCCCTTCAGAGAGGCTGGTCCTTGGTGGTGTGGACACGAGCCAGCCTGTAGCAAAGAGCAATGGTTAATGGTGCCTCCCAGGCATTTTCCACAACAGCAGCAGACACGCAGCCTTTGCCAAGTAGCCAACACTCAGCATTTCCTTTCTTTTCCCTAAGACTATTTCTGGGCCTTACAAATCTCTTCTTCCCCATGGCTCAGTGCTCTGTCAGCAAAGCAGTGAGGACTCCCTGGGGTGGCAGAAGTGGATGACACACAAATGTGTGATGTACCAGGTCTGTGAGATCTCCAGATGAGGACACCAAGCGTGGGGAGCCCAGAATGAGGGAATCACTGAGCCTGTGAAGGAACAAGAAAAATAGAGATATTTCTGAGAGAAAGCCCAGAAATTAATACCAACCCTACTCCACTTTGGAAGGAATCTCCTGAAGCATACAAGAAATCTGGCAATTTACATTAAATAGTTGAAAAGAAAAAGTTGAGACTTTTTTAGTGTAGTAAAAACTGAAATCACAGATTTGGTGAGAAAGGGGGAGTGAAAAGGTCCTATTACTCAATAATAACCTTGGTGCAGCTACCACCAATACCTTGTATGTCTGTCCTCCTCAGCAAACCGGTGGCAAAACTGGGAGCTTAACTCTTAAGGGCATTGCCGCTGGTTGTCTGGCTCATCTCTCAGCAAATAAACATTTTCCATTTCTCATGTATATTTACCTCATAGTACATATGTAATGTTTGTAACCAGACATCTGCGTATGCTTGGCTTGTTCCCTTCTCTGTTTAAACATACACCTGAGAAGAATCATGAAGCCAATCGCCCATCTCCAGCAGGAAAAGTATTTCTAGAAAAACATTCCAGTACACCTCTGCAGAGTGAACATAGATTTATAAAATATGAGTGACAGAGGACCTGGCAGGCACTGCATGAATAAGCCATACAGAACCTCAAGACCCAGCTGTCAGGTCAGTCTGCTTTATTTTAGCTTGCCACAATTTTTAGAAATGATGTGGTATTTTTGCAACCTTCATTTCCCAGTTTTTCTGGAATTTTTGAGATGGTTTTATACTAGACCACTGCTGTGACAATGGTTGCTCACCTCCGGATAAAAAACCTCCACACATTATCTTCATAAGGTTTTTCAATTTCAATAACCCAAATGGTCCTTCCTGAAAATTTTGGCTGTGGAAGCTGTATCAGGGCTGGGAGATAAAACAGATAAAGCATAAAACACTGTGCTCTTCATGCAAGTACTTATTCCAGTAGGAGACCAATAAGGGGCTGGTTTCTCAAGCAGGGCAGCAGATTATTTTAAGCAATCCAGGAATACTCTGTTAAATTCAGCAAGTGTGATTAAGATGGGTGCAAGTTCACTTTGACCACTTTGGTCTCTTTCACTTACTGTGTTGTCTTGGGATCCTTTGGAGAAGGCAGTCCCCCTCCAAAGAATTTCATAAATTTATAGATCCATGTGATGGGGAGCTGGACTCGATCAGGTGAAGCTGGAAAGGCTGGACAAGCTTTTTATGTCTTGTTTCATACAAATTTTGGGTTTACTGGGGTGATGTCAGTGGCTTTGCTGGCATGATCTCCAAAATGAAACCCTGCAGTTTCCTGGTCACTCTTCTACTTCTTCAGCATCTGTAGCAGGAACTCATCAGCTGCTACCTCGGTTATTTGAACAGAAGTCTCCCCTGTGCAGTCTGTTATTAAATTCTCTTATGTCTTTATTAGATATTAGATGTGATGAAAGAAGGTGACATCTCCAAGGAAATCTTGCTTGAGGTGTGGGGATGGGATTTTAATGGACTGGGGAAGACAGAAAGTCTACAAGTGTAATGATCCTGTAATGTGCCCATGTGAGTATGAACATCCAGATATCTTTTTTTCTTTTTTATTCTACAAACAAAAAGCACTTGAGATGTATATAAACAAGGTACTTAGCTCTTCCCTACTCAATATGTCTTGCTTCTGTTTTAAAGATGGCCTTGATGTCTTTTTGTTTTTCTTATTATTTTTTTCGTTCTGCAATCTGCATCCTTTCTATCTCACACGTTGGTACAACAGATGAGTTCTCCTTTCCATGTGACAGTTTCATTTCAGAGAAAAATGGAAAAATCCCTGCAGAATCAGCATTTCACAAACTTGTTGATCAAATAAGGGAGGGAAGGATGGATGCAGATTGCAGGACTAAACCCTGAGAAGCCAGTGTGTGGGTGCCAGGAGTACATTGGAGGCCTGGCCGAGGTAGGATTAAAAAGAACATGGTTTGAGTTATTTAAAAACAGGTGCTTGAAAGTCCCCACACCTCCTGGTGTGCCCTGCATATGTGCACATGCTCCTTCCTCCTTACCAACAGGCATCTTGTGAGGGTCTGCAAACATATTTATGATACCAGCAGTATTCATAAAGGTCAGTTTTGGTTCCAAAACCCTTCCTTTGTTTCTCTGTGGTTGCAAGCTCCCCCCATGCCGATGGAGATCCTGTGAAGCTCTCCCCAGGTAGCTCCTGCCCTCCCACCCCTCTGCTCTGGATCCCAGGAACACTTTGTCCACACTGCTTGGGCAACAGAAGGGCTGTTGATGCAGCCTTCTCCTAATGGATCCTCGCAGTTTGCAGTATGGCCTGGAAGGTGCCATTGGGATGAACATTAGGCAACAACCCTTATTCTTAAAAGTCTGGGACGTATTTGAGAATTAAAGTGAACTAAAACACCCTAGAAGTTTAACATGGGTTTTTCTTTTATTAAATTTCAAGGGGACCAGAGGAATTTAAAAAAATAAATATTAAAGACCTCTTTAAAATAATTTTTAGCTGTTAGTTAATTGGAAGTTTGTGGCTTTTTCTAATCAGGAATGCATTCTGCCATGCAAATTGCAGCCTGATGAAGGACATGCTCTGTCTTCTGACAGGAAAAAGGATCTTCCCTGCCAGTGGGACCCAAAGTTGCATGGGATGAAGGCAACTGGTTCTGCAAGAGAAGCTCATGTGCTCCTGAATCCCAGCTTGCACCATCTTGTCACAGTTTCAGGTCTGGCTCAGTTTGCTCTTTGTAGCAGGCTTCTCTTGTGTCTCTCTGTCCGGGTGGACACAGTTGGACACCACACACCTCCCCCTTTTTCAGGAAAGCAAACTGAAGGGCAGTGTGCTCCCAGGATGTATCTGCATTGCAGCTGCATTATTAGCTGGCACTCGGGCTCCTCTGAGCTCAGGGGTCAGATGCAGCTGCACAAAAACCTGCGTCTTTACGAGGAAGGTGTGTTGTTGTTGGCCAGCTGGGCTGTGTTTCTTGGATTGCCTCAAAAATAGTTTTCTGCTTTAACAGACCTGAGTGGCTGATGATCTTAACATTTGCTCTAATTGCTGTCTAACCTCAGAGCTGGTTTAATGCATGTAGCCATAGGAGTCACAAAGAAAATACCAGAATCTAAATAAATTTTTTTAAATCCAAAGCCTTTATATGTGCAAGGAGAGATTTCAGTACATGCAGAGATTTTTAGGCTCTGACTTTAAAACAGTGTAATCATAGAAAAAACAAAACTGGAAACTGACCGTCAGAGTAAGAGTCTCCTGCAAACCAGAATCACAGAGTGGTTTGGGTTGGAAGGGACCTTAAAGATCCTCATGGGAAGGGATGCCACCTGCTAGCCTGGGCTGATCAAAGCCCCATCCAACCTGGCCTTGAACAGTTCCAGGCATGGGGCATCCAGAGCTTTTCTAGGCTAGAAAGCAAGCAGACTTCAAATTACTTCTTAATGTCTTGGAGACCTGTTTGTTAATCTCAGATAAATCTTAGTTCAGATTTTTGTGTTGTTATGGTTTATTATGATGATAAGGAGCTGATGTAGGACTTCTGCAGATACTACTAGACCCTAAAATATTTTATCTGTATTGTCCCAAAAAGGCAAGTGAGCAGCTCTGATGAGGTGGCCACTGTTATAACCCAGCAAAGAACCATATGAAGACAAGTTTTCATGGGCTGTCCAGGTTGCAGGTAAGATGATGACCAAAATCTAGATAATATATAACTGGAAATTTAAGATTTTGCTTTAAGGAAATCTGTATGGCCAGAAGGTTTTCTGGGGAACCAAAGAAACCCAACTACAAAAAAATTATAGATGCTCCACGGTGACATAATTGTGTGACTTAGCAACAGGGTTCCCACAGGCAATAAGGAATGCATCCAAGTGAACCCATTATTTATTGCTGCAAACCCTGGCATGGACAGAGAGAGACTTGTGCTTCTGCAAACAACACTTTAGCACAGGCAGCTCAGCAAATCTTCTTGTCTTCTAGGAAATCACTCTTGTGTTACATCAAACCCCCTTCCTTATTCCCCACACACAAGTCAGGGAGATCAAGGAGGATGAACAGGGCATTGCTATCCATCAGAGCAGAGTCTGTGCCTGCTGGGGCTGAGCTGATCCTGCCCTTTGGGGAAGCAGAGGAGTTCAGGTGGATCTCAGCCTGGCTTACATGCTTATGCAATACAACATATGTGTATTCCAAATCCCTTGCCCTCACCCTCGCAGTAAAGAATTTCTTCCTGACACCTAATCTAAACCTGCCCTGTGTCATTCTGAAGCTATACCCCTTGTCTTGTCACTACATGCTCTAGTCAAAAGTCCCTTTCCAGCATTCCTGTAGGACCCCTTTGACAGACTTTTTAATATCTTGGGATATGTATCATTATTTGCAAATTGTTTTCACTGAGAAATGACTGAGAACCTCTGGATACAGTCACTCTAAAATCAATGATACTTTTGAGCCATCACCACCTCTATCCCAATTGTAACTCAGCTGTCCTGCAGTGGCTAAATACAGACAGGAATTAAAATACTGGGATTGGGGGCTTCTTTTGTGTATTTTGGCTTATTTTTAGTTGTTTGAGCTTTTTTTAAAATTTCCACTGTGAAGCTTTATGACTTTCTGTCTTAGAGTTTAAACTAATGCTAAGGGATTCATTTGGTGGATGGTGCTAAATATTTGTTCAGGATGGGAACCTCTGGCCTTACTTCAGCTGAAAGATTTTCTTCTGTGCACTCCTGACTGGCAGAGTTTTTCTCTCCCTTTGTAAAAAGCAGATTTTCATGCTGTTGTTTCAATGAGGCTTGAAGATTTTACACCCCTGGGGCCATTGTGTAGCTGCTGGAGCTTTGCTCCTCTGACCAACTTTCTTTGCTTAGAGGTTATTAATACTTTCTTCATTAGTAATTTAACATTGCAAAGTGAAAACTGCTTGTATCAGCCACAGACTAACTGGAGATAAGTTAGTGAATGTAAAACACAATCATGTCATGATGATGAGCAGGTAGCAAGTGCCTGCTCTCTGCTCTCCCACAAGAAGTTGCAGGCTGTCCAGCTTTTTATCAGCCTGATTTATAAAATGTAAGCCCCAACAGTCCTTCATCATTGCATTTAAAATCCTTTTTCAGGTGTTTCTTCCCTTTTTCTTTGTCATCCAACAGCTTCCCCTGATCTGAGTCTGTGAAAGTGTTAATAAGGTGGCATGTATAAAGGTGCGCAAGACTTAAGAGAGAACTATTTTCCTACCCTTAAGATGCCAGCCTCATCCTGGGGGAAAACGCTTTTTTTCTTCTTCCCCTGGTCTTTGTTTACCCTTCATGGGCTCACCAAAACCCATTAGCTGGAACCAGTGAGGATGGGCTCCTACCCACAGCCCATCATCTGGCAGAGCCTCTGCCAAATCTTGGGGTACAACAGGCCAGGGTGAACAAGGGTTTGCAGTCCACCCCTCGTGCATCTGCTCTTCTGGTAGATCTCAATGTCTGCAACACCAGAGCAAGCACCCACACCTTTCAGCAGAGCTGCCTCATTAAGCCTAAGAACACTAATTGCTCAGGCTGAGGATAAAGCACCCTTTTGCTTGGGAATCATAGAAATGTTGCGCTCTAGGGCTGTGCAAGCTGAGAACTGTGTAAACAGAACAGATAAATTATCCCCCAAGTTACAAACGGGCTCAGAAGTAAAGTTACAGCCAACCTTTGCATTAGTTGGGAACAGCTGCATACAGCAGAGCCTCCAAATTTCCATAGAAACTTGGATAAGCCATAGATTATCTTAATTTTGTAAATGTTTTAATTATTATACTGTAACACTGTTGGGTGGGGGTTGCAATACTAGGGAAGCCACATTTTAAAAGCAGTTTCCCTAGACCATATTTTAAGAAAAGCAAAGCTAGGTTAGGATTAAGATTTATGGTTTCTGATAGATTTGATTTTTTTTCAATGCTACTGCATGCACTCTTTTAAATAAGTAAACTCCCACCAAGCTTGCTACTCCAGTGGGACTGGATTGAACTTCCCAGGCATGCATGAATTATAAAGTCAGCTATATGTTCCTGTGGAGAAGAATTACTAGCAGGAACCATCTCCCGATGCACGTAGGCTGCACTGGTCACTTGAAAAGTAAACCCCGGCTGCGTGCGGCTGTTTGGAGCCGG